AGTTTGGCTTTCCTGCAAAATGCAGGCACCAGCAGCATGACACACTGCCACGAAAAACCCCCGTTTGTGCAGCGTTACAGACTGTTTTCCAGCCAGGAGCCATCCCAGCAGTGCCACAGGCTGGTGGGGACAACAGGACCAGAACGGGTTGGGCACCGCAGAGGAACATTCCCAAGTACGGGACGCCCGCAGCAGCTCTCGCTGCAGAGGGCAATCGGACCTCTCCACGCTCACCTGAAAGGGGAAATAACTCACCTGTAGTGATACTGGAAAAGCTTCTGGAAGATGGCGTGGGGAAGGGAGAAGCAGGTTGCCATCAGCCAGATGATGGAGATGCTCAGCGCTCCCTTCGTTAGGGACATCCTCTGCTTCAGCGGGTTCAGGATGACCTGCAACAGACTGCACCGTGAAAGCAGAGTCCTTTCACCAACAGCACAGGCATTTTTTGCCATGATCTAGTGCTGTTAAGAAAATGACATCCGTGATTAGGAAAAATGTCCTGCTTATCAGAGTGATCTGGAAAATAGGAAACCCGAACTTTTCAGTCTGCTCAGAAGAGCTTCTAAGGAAACTCTTTTCTTCTGTGAGAACCGTTTGCCTTAAACTGTGGGTTACATTAGATAGGGAAAAAAAAAGATACCTACATGAGTCTCTTCACTTATGGGTATGTTTGTTTATTCTGTATGAATTACATAAAGAAATGTCTCCTGTTCTAGCTGAACCTGCATAGCTGAGCACTCCTCCCCTCTTTTGAGGCATTAACTCCCCGTTTACAAAGTTTCCTCTGTTAGATTAAAAGATAAAGGAGCCCACAAAATCTGGGAGTCTGGAAGACACTGTCTGGCTGACAGGAAAAGCAGAGGATGGCTGGGGATCAGCGCACACTGACTGGGCTGCCCTCGCAGTGCATCGAGTGTTCATTGCTGTGGACAGCCAACAGCCCAGCTGTGGGCAGATGGGGGGTAAAGGCTTCTCAGGGCTCTGAAATCTCCTCCCAGTGTTTTCAACAGAGGTTTCCCACTCTGCCACTCCCCTTTACACCGGTCCAGCACTAGTCCTATAGTTATGCCATGGCACTTCAGTCTCAGGATTTATTTTTACTCCCTAAAACAGTGAGCTGAGAGTTGCTGCCAGCTCCGACTGCAACTTGATGGTGCAGCAAACGCCCAGGGAGGTGTCTGATGGGTTTTGGGGGGTAAACTAAAAAGCCTGGAAAAGTCCCCTGTCCAGCTGAACCCACACTGCGCTCAGCGGAGGCTCTGCTGTCTTCTAGGGCTCCCCATGTAAATCGACTTGCCCTCCCATCCTGGGGGCTCAGTTAGACCTGGCCTTTTAAAAACTGCTTGAAAAGGTGTCCTCACCCCTTTCCACGTAAAAGGCTGGGAGTGTCCTGTGAAACCCATGATGCCTCATTTTATTGTTTCTGTCCTCCCCCCTACCTGGGATCCTAAAGAACTCCATCAACCCTTCCTACTGCGACATGCGAGGGGCATCTGCATTTAGCTCTAGAGCCTGCTTCCGGGAGATGGGCTTAATGCCGAGGATTCAGCCCCCTTGAACCCACAGCTTGGCTGGGACAGGCAGGGGCTCAGGAAGAGCCTTGCGAGGGGCCGGGGGCGTTGTACCTGGTGCCTGTCCAGGGCGATGGCAGTGAGGGTCAGTGTGGAGACATGAAGGGAGCAGTACTGCACGAAGCGGCTGACGTGGCACATGGCCTTTCCGAAGACCCATGTGCTGTTCACAAACCGCACCTGAGGGGAAAGCGAGATGCCATCAGCCAGCAAATGTTCCGAAAACAAATCCATGGGGAGAACCTTTGCATTGCGGCCGAGCCACCACATGCTTTTCAGCTGGCTGAGAACCTCCATCTGAAACCCAAGGGAAGATTAGCCACTCTGGGTTTTGAAACACCTCCACGTAACAGTTTGTAAGGTCAAATCCGTAGATTAATCGAGTGGTGCTGTTGCAGCCCCTCTCCTGGCTTGTTCATATAAACCCCGTTTTGAACAGCTGTAATAACTTTTTGAGTATACTAACAACTATGTTGGGAAAAAGTGGAACAAGTTTTGGTCATACAAACCCCCTTCAGCCCTGGAGAGCTCCCACTGAACACTTTACCCAGATAGCACATCTGAAATGCTTGACTGCTTTCTTCCAGTGACCCAAGTATGATGGGCATTCGAGTTGTTTTGAGCAGCTAAGTTTTGAGTTTTTTTTTTGCATGTGTGTTAAAAGCACGTGTTCATCCAGGCACTTACTCTGCACTTCCCAAGAAGCTCTTGCCGTGGTTGGTGGAATACTGGAAGAGACTTGAGGGTCTTTTAGGAGACACAGGGTGTAATGGAGCAAAGGGAGCCCCCAGGTTGCCAAGCAGTGTGTCACTTGCCCAGCAGAGCTGTCCATTAGATGTGATCGTGTTGGGTTGGCACCCCAGTCCTGGAAGAGCATGCACAGAGGGTGTGATCACCAGGCACAGTGGGCCACTTACCAGGGTGAAGGGCGTGTTGAGCAGCGTGATCATGATGTCAGACACCGCCAGGTTGACGATGAAGAGGCTGGTGGCCGAGTGCATCCTCTTGTTTTTCAGCACCACGTGGCACACCAGCATGTTCCCAAAAAGAGACATGATGATAATCACTGAGTACGCCACGACAAGGAGAGCTTTCACTGTTGGTTTCTGGGATTCTGGCTCATATTTAGCCAGCTCGGCAAACTTCTCCCACTCAACGATGCGGCTGTCTGTCCAGTTGAAGGTGCTCCTGTTGGTTGCTGGGTAGACTGACATGAGTTTGGCCATGGAAGTGTAGTGGTCAAACTCCTCAAGAACCCCCAGCACCCATGATCGGTGTGGCTGGAGTGCCACGCGAAGCATGGTGGGTTCACCCGAGTCTTCGCTCAATGTGAGGCTGCTGGGGTCACAGCTCCAGCTGACGCAGCAAGCAATCCATCAGCATCAACTGCTCGGTTCTCAGGAAGCTGGTGAAGATGCAGTTCCCATTACAAGCACCTTAAAACGCCATGCTGGAGGGAGCCTCCAAGGCACGAAGGGCTCCCCAGGCAGAGGGGATCAGTTCCAACCAGCATGCTGGGAAGGGGCTGGTTTGGGACCGCACACCCTCAACCCCTCCATGTATGAAGAAGGGCAATAGCTCCACAGGCGGGCTTGAATGAACTCGTTATTACATGTAGCAAATGTAGGAAAACCTCCAGTAGGGGCTGAAGCTGTTTTAATCCCACATCAGCTTTGTCTTCGTTGCTCTCACCTGAGTCCATCTTTTCTCCAAGTTTCAGAAGGCCGCGCTGTTGGTGCTTTCATCCTCTACTTCAAAATAGCCACTTCTTCTCTGTTGAAATGCAAAGGCAGAGCCATTTGGGGGATTCTTTCTAAGAGCACAGGTAGCTTTTGTCAGTATCTAATGCCAGTAATTATCCTAAAGAGATTCAGAACCCAGAAATCATACCAGACCTTGACTTTAGTCTCTCATATTTTCTCCTCCAAACAACAACTGAATTCTGCTCCCAGCGTTTCAGTTTCAGTAAGAAAACAGTCTTTTCTGCAAAAAGCAAGACATAGCAGTAGAGGCATGCAACTCACAGAGGAGCTACTTACACCGTGTACAAACAAACCAACACACAGCGCTAAATACACAAGAACCATTCTCTAGAGATAAAAATATCTGCTTCCTCTCCTTTACCAATATCCATTTTTAGATATTTCTGGTGATTTTAGCTTGCACTGATCTGTTGATGTTAGGTGGAACCTATTAACCATGCACACTGGTATTTACAGGTACGCTACTCACAGGAGGAGAAAGTCATTTTGAAGCTCCATTGGGTTCTCAGAGCTGGTTTGTTTGGTATGTGCCATTCCCATCAAGCCCCATGGCTGTGTGCACAAATCAATGGACCTCACACAGGGCAAGGGATCCATCAGCAGAGCTTCCAGAGCTCTAAAAGGCTCCCTGGTACCATCCCACGGGGCAGCCAGCTCTCTGCATGGTGCGGGGGCCTGGAGCAGGCATTCAGCAGACCCTAACCTGACACACCACTCCATCTCAACGGTGGTCTCAGCTGCAGACGCCACCAAGCAAGACTCAGAGGTGGACTGTTCTGTCGGAAATGAGGTGCAGGGGACCGAGTGTGTTTGTACCCCTGCATTTCACCGCACGGTCTGCTCCGGCTCGTCTGCCTGCTGCAGGGAGGGTCCAGAGTACCAGAGGACCTGCGGGACTTACCCAGATAACAACAGAACCCAGAGCTACATCCCTCTGGGCTCCTGGGGGGAAGCAGATGGGCACTGGGGGCCTAATCAGACCCCCGAGGTTTACCCCACACGTGGGTGAGGCACGCAGGACTCCACACTTCTGTGCTGTCTGCTGTGGTACAGACTGAGGGTGTTGTTCTGTGTGGTGCACGGTCACTCTTGCGGACAGTGAGGGAGCTGCTCTGAGCTGAAAGGGTAACGCAGCATGTGTGTGACAGAGGAACAGGATTTTAGTTAGCTCGAGCTGAACCACTTTGATCTGTGAATAAGCACAGCTGGGATATTCATGCTACACTGAAATGCCATCACTGAGCTTGAGCAAGGATGCTGCGGTGTGACAGATGGAACCACCTGTAACCTTCCTGGCATCAATTTACGTTCTCATGCGGAAACTTGTCTTCGCTGCCATGAGATGAGGCTGAGTTTCAAGAAACTGCTGTAATGCATGAGTCAAACCAGATTTGCAGTCTGTATGCTTCAGACTGGTAGATGGCAAGAAGAACCTTGCGCAGATGATTCAATTTTAAAAACCCAAACAGGTTTTCTCAAGTGCCCACATGATTGGGAAGCCCATTTCTCATGGACTGCCTGTAGGACCCGCACTCTTGAGGAGCTCACAGTGATTGGGGCACCATGGCCTTAAATGTGGATGATGAATGGGTACATCTCTTCTTCCTTACTCCATCTAGCCATTTCTCTTGTGCCTGTGTCCAGGCCCCTCTACAATCAAATCAAAAAGCTGGTCCATCTGAATATTAAATAAACTGTTTTCAGCTGGATTGGTTTCCTGACCTGACCCACAGCATGGCTGAACCTTGTTCTTTCCAGAGTAGGCACTAGGAGCAAATGCCTGAGGAAAATAGAAGAGCTTAAGATGATGGAGCTACAACCTGGTTTTCTAACACAGAATTTCTCCCTGGATCTTTCTCTGTTCAGTAAACCATCACTTTCAGTACCTGTTGAAGGTCTCAGCACTGGCTGCTGCCTTGGACAAGACCCCAGGCACAGTGGTGCGGGCTGTCCTGTTCTCTGGCGGAACTGTGTGTTTAACTGCAGGTTATCCTGATGATTTGAAACACTACAGTTCCATGCAATAAGACAGTTCAGCTTTCATTTTTTCTAACCTGCTATAAGCTGCAGGACCAGAGAGGAAGACCCCACCGCAGCACAACTTTCCCCTCTCTTCCAGTGTCCGGTGTGAACAGGCTGGCTGCACACCCCTGGCTGCCTCAGCAATCCTTTCCTCCTGATGCAGAACCCCTGACGTTCCCCTCTCATTACATTCAAGACACCTTTCCCGCAGCAGCCCCCCCCCGCAGTCAGCAGCTCACCCACCGAAAACCACAAACCCTTGCAGAGGTACGACATGCGTTGCACGCACAAGTTACACCCGGTTTCCCGAGAAGCCCCCTTCCCGTCACTTACCCCCCG